TCTGGTCTGTGGACATTGCCCTGTGTAGGGTGCCGTCTTTTGGATGGGACGTTAAACGGGTGTCCTGACTCTCTGTGGCCACTAAAGATCCCATGGCACTTATTGTAAGAGTAGGGGTTATAACCCCGGTGTCCTGGTTAACTTCATACCATCACGGCCACCTAATCATCCCCAGCTTCCAATTGGCTAATTCCTCTCCCCTGTAACTATTCCCAGGTCAGTGCTGTAAATGAGAATAAGTAAATTTACACAGGAAGCGGCACAGGTCCTAATCCAGGCACTTGTCATCTCCCGTCTGGATTACTGCAACTCACTGTTGGCTGGGCTCCCTGCCTGTGCCATTAAACCCCTACAACTCATCCAGAATGCCGCAGCCCGTCTGGTGTTCAACCTTCCCAAGTTCTCTCACGTCACCCCGCTCCTCCGCGCACACTCCACTGGCTTCCAGTTGAAGCTCGCATCTGCTACAAGACCACGGTGCTTGCCTACGGAGCTGTGAGGGGAACGGCACCTCCGTACCTTCAGGCTCTGATCAGTCCCTACACCCAAACGAGGGCATTGCGTTCATCCAACTCTGGCCTGCTGGCTCCCCTACCTCTACGGAAGCACAGTTCCCGCTCAGCCCAGTCAAAACTGTTCGCTGCTCTGGCACCCCAATGGTGGAACAAGCTCCCCCACGACGCCAGGACAGCGGAGTCACTCACCACCCTCCGGAGACATTTGAAACCCCACCTCTTTAAGGAATACCTGGGATAGGATAAAGTAATCCTTCTACCCCCCTACTTTAAGACACATATTCATGTCATAAGTCAATGGTCCCACCTGTCAATGATTTTTAAAAGGGCGGGACGTTTATGATTTAAATGGCTTCACTGTCCAGATCCGTCTACACTTGTAAGATATTCAGACACAATGCGTCTGACTACCTCCAGAGGTGTTCAGGAAGATCAGATCACAATGTGTCTTTTAATCGTCAACACCGGTCTTCAAATGTGGACACAATCAGGATGTGGACCAAATTAGGACAAAATATGCATGTTAGCAACAGGTATAAATGGGGCTTTGGTCTCCATCTCAAACAAACAGAGAAATGTTAACTCTATGCTGAGATAAAGAGCCCTGTCTATCTGATGACTAACACCTCGTTTCTGCCCTCTCATCCTCCTACACAACATTATGTTACTGACAGGGAAATGGATCAAAGACAGTGAAATGTTTAGTAATTTTCACATTATAAAAAGCAGAGCTCTATCAATGTTAGCTGGATGAGGACACACTGAGCTGTGTTCTCTGATATGACAGACAACCAAACAAGATCCCTGGTAGGCCCTATAACCAAACAAGATTACTGGTAGGCCGTGATATGGAACAAGATTCCTGGTAGGCCGTGATATGGAACAAGATTCCTGGTAGGCCCTACAATCAAACAAGATTACTGGTAGGCCCTACAACCAAACAAGATTACTGGTAGGCCATGATATGGAACAATATTACTGGTAGGCCCTACAACCAAACAAGATTACTGGTAGGACCTACAACCAAACAAGATTACTGGTAGGACCTACAACCAAACAAGATTCCTGGTAGGCCCTACAACCAAACAAGATTACTGGTACAACCAAACAAGATCACTGGTGTGCCATTATATGTAGCGTGTTGGGTGGAGCTGTAGGTCATAAGAAAGTGGAAAATCAAAACTCTGACTAGCTAGCTGACATCTAATAGACCTAATACACTGACCACTGACTAGCTAGCTGACATCTAATACATCTAATACACTGACCACTGACTGGGCCTTACAGAAATGGACCCTTATATGGCTACGGTGACTTTGACGCTCTTTGTCTAGAGACACATTAAAGTACTTAGCAATGTCAAGAGGAACCTGGACATAGTGTGGAAATCAAAAAAAATAACTATGTACTTTCCACACCATCAACTTCCTGTTCATACGATGATGTGTTATGAAATAAGCAGTGAGAAGGGAAGTGATGTTGAGATTAGCTTCACAGATTTGAGTGAAAACGAACATTATCCCCCCCCCCCCACAGTTTTATCATTGGAATGTGATGCAAAACAATGCAAAGGAGTGCTTTAGGACCATGCGGACGCCTCCGAGCGGTCGGGTAGGCTGTTTGGAGTGTTCATCCGACAGGATTTTTAAAAAAAAGATGCCTCCCCCCAATGCCTTTGATTTTACTACATGTCGTCATCGGGCTAGCGTGACTATTCATGCCCCCTATTCGTTGTTCATTTGTACTTTACAGAGGATGTGGAGCACTAGGGCAGCACGCTCTTGTCATTATCAGGTATGTCATGTGTTTTTGTTAAGATATTTTGACAATATTTTACTGTTAGCTGTTCCCAAGAGCACATCATGTACTGTAATGTACCAAACACCTGGCTGTCATTGAGAACTTTGGCTGGTCTAGGCCTATAGGCTACTGGATATTTACATGTAATACTGTACATTTCATTTGCATTAGAGTTGAGTTGAGTTGAGTTTGAGTTTATTTTTACAGGGACAGTGCACATTAATCAACGTTTCAGTAAAAGTGCCGGTTTTAGCCAGCCGGCTAATTTTCAACCGCAGTCCCTGGGCAGGTTATTAAAAACAATTACAATATAGACAATAACAACATAGAACAAGACATAGCATACAGACATAGCAACATAGGACAAGCAAGACGTAGCATACAGACCGAGCAACATAGAACAAAAAGCAGCAAGACAAAATTCATAAAAGCAACAAAGTGTTTCCACACCTCACAAATTACAGACAACAGACATGGAAAGCGGCAACACACAGCTAGGGACCATGTTCACAAATCTGATTGACCTTTAGCCATGTCTTCAAGCATTTTGTGAAAGTGTGATATGTGGTGCAGTTATGTGTGTCTGATGGCAGTGTATTCCAGACATGGGAAGCTCTCACAGAAAAAGCGGATTTACTAAAGGTGCTTTTCCTTAGGGGAACTACACAGTCACCTCTCATGGCAGACCTTGTGGATCTGCTGCCATATGTTTGGGTTTTCTGTTTAACAAAAATACTGAGTGGAGGGGGAGCCAAGCCATTTAGGATCTTGAATACAAGACATGCATCGGTGTATTGCACAAGATTTTCCCAACTCAGGAGCTCATGCTTTCTAAGGATGTGACAGTGATGATGGCTATTGGGCTTCCTATCAAGCACTTTGAGAGCCTGTTTGTAGACAGACTGAATAGGTCTTACTGTTGTACAGCAAGCTTGGGCCCAACTAGCCAAACAGTATGTTAAGTGGGGGAGTATCATAGATTTGAAGTACAGTTTTGCTACCTCTGTAGTCAAACAATTTCGTATAAATCGGAAATTAGCTAGGTTGAATTTGGTTATTTGAATTACCTTTTTCACATGCTTTTTAAAAGAGAGGTTGGAATCAAGTATGATGCCAAGGTACTTAAAATCAGATACCCCCTGGAGCTTCTCCCCTGACACATAGACTTCTGGCTCAGTAGCATCTGTTGCCCTCTTTGTGAAGAACATGCAAACAGTTTTTTTCACATTGAGATGCAAACACGAGTCACTGAGCCACTTTGTAACCTGGACCATTACAGTAGTGAGTTCTTGTGCAGCTTGTTGTTTGCTCTTTGCATGCACATATATCACTGTATCATCTGCATACATTTGAACTTCAGACCCAGTACAGACAGAAGGCAGATCATTAATGTACAGGCTGAACAGGAGGGGCCCCAGTATTGACCCTTGGGGCACACCCACATCATAGCTAAGAGTGGGTGACAGCTCATTGCTCACTCTGACACACTGAGTTCTGCCTTCAAGGTATGATTTCATCCATCTCAAGGCATCGGGGGAAAAGTTGAACTTGGACAATTTTGTGATGAGAATCTCATGGTTAACAGTATCAAAAGCCTTCCTTAGGTCCAGAAACACAGCCCCAACAACGCCCCCTTTGTCCATCTTGGACTTCACATTTTCCAGAAAAAAGCAGTTGGCCATTTCTGTGGAGTGTTTCGCTCTGAAGCCAAACTGCATGCAATGTAATGTGAAGGGGCTGTTGTTGAGGTGGGCAATCAGTTGTTCTGCTACACACTTTTCAACAACCTTTGACACCACAGGTAGTATACTAATGGGCCTGTAGTTACTCACGTCAGCAGGGTCGCCTGATTTAAAGATGGCCGTTATTATGGCCGACTTCCATACCCTTGGAAACACCCCGAGACCAATAGATGTGTTGGTGACCTTAGTAATGGGGCCGAAGGTACGGAGGTGCCGTTCCCCTCACAGCTCCGTAGGCAAGCACCATGGTCTTGTAGCAGATGCGAGCTTCAACTGGAAGCCAGTGGAGTGTGCGGAGGAGCGGGGTGACGTGAGAAAACTTGGGAAGGTTGAACACCAGACGGGCTGCAGCATTCTGGATGAGTTGTAGGGGTTTAATGGAACAGGCAGGGAGCCCAGCCAACAGCGAGTTGCAGTAATCCAGACGGGAGATGACAAGTGCCTGGATTAGGACCTGTGCCGCTCCCTGTGTACATTCACCTCTTTGGCCCCTGTGTACATTCACCTCTTTGGCCCCTGTGTACATTCACCTCTTTGGCCCCTGTGTACATTCACCTCTTTGGCCCCTGTTTACATTCACTAGTATCATAATGACTAGTATCATAATGACTCCTCTCTGGTAATGTATAAGATGTGTAGTTCTGTAATGCGGAGAACAAGTTGTTCTGATGTGGATTGAAACAAACAACCAAACCATCTACGACATATATTTTTCTTAAATTTGTATTAGTATTATTATGTATTATAATTTTATTATTAAGTTTGTGTATCTTTGTTATCAACAAATATCACTTTCCAGTTCAAATTTTGTCTTTGGACATACTTTCCACACCATCAACTTCCTGTTCACATGATGATGTGTTATGAAATAAGCAGTGAGAAGGGAAGTGATGTTGAGATTAGTTTCACAGATTTGAGTGAAAACGAACCACGTTGGAACATTATGGAGAGCGTCAATGAGGTTTCATCTATGGATCAAGTTTTTACAATGGAATATGGAAATGTGACAGCCAATCAGCACACCAGAGACAGCTCAGGATCAGCTCAGCACTCCAGGAGAAGAGTCTACAGATTGGTTGCTGTGGGCTTTGGGTTGCTGTGTGTCCTACAAGTCACTCTTAACGTCTCGCTGCGTTTAGTCGCCAACCTGACTGAAGGGAGAGACCAGTTGGTGTGTGAGAAAGACGTCCGCAAGATATGTCCCCAAGACTGGTTAATAAAGTCTGGCTGCAGTTGTTACTTCATCTCCCCTGACACTAAAAACTGGACTGAGAGCAGACAGGACTGTCTGGACAGAGGAGCAGACCTGCTGATCATAAACAGCAGAGAGGAACAAGCTTTAATCAAAGCATTTGGCCACCGTGCCTGGATTGGTCTGACTGACAGAGAAGCTGAGGGAACCTGGAGATGGGTGGACAAAACACCACTGGCCGCAAGTTATTGGATTGAAACCGGCGAACCAAATGGAGGAGCTAATGAGAACTGTGTTGAGATTGTTGTGGATTACAATGACCCAGTATTGGTCTGGAATGATCTACCATGTAACTATGAAACTCGTTGGATCTGTGAGAGTTTGTGGGTTCTGTGAGAGTTCGTGGGTGCTGTGAGAGTTCGTGGGTTCTGTGAGAGTTTGTGGGTTCTGTGAGAGTTTGTGGGTTCTGTGAGAGTTCGTGGGTTCTGTGAGAGTTCGTGGGTTCTGTGAGAGAGCCAACACGCCCAACCACCGCCACAATCTCTAGATTCAGCACTAACACCTACAATGGTCTCCACAACATTATCTTAAGCAAGTAAGGCCTATTGATAACAATTCATTAATGGAAAAGCAGGACCTGCATTTATAAAATTATTGCAATAGTTTTCTCTCTCTCTTTTGACTTCACTCCTTCTCACAGTTCCATCGCTGAACTCTTTATTCATTTTTGTCATGCTCATGTAATAAGTGTTGAATTTCATGTTGTGTAATGACCCAGAATCTGCATAGTTCCACCCCTGATTTTACTGTACATTCCTTTTGTTGTTTTAAATTCCCTTTTTAATGTCTCACACTTCCTTATCATCCTGTATTCCCCCTAATCAACATCCCCTGCCTCTCCTGTATTCCCCCTCATCAACATCCCCTGCCTGCCCTGTATTCCCCCTCATCAACATCCCCTGCCTCTCCTGTATTCCCCCTCATCAACATCCCCTGCCTCTCCTGTATTCCCCCTCATCAACATCCCCTGCCTCTCCTGTATTCCCCCTAATCAACATCCCCTGCCTGCCCTGTATTCCCCCTCATCAACATCCCCTGCCTCTCCTGTATTCCCCCTCATCAACATCCCCTGCCTCTCCTGTATTCCCCCTAATCAACATCCCCTGCCTCTCCTGTATTCCCCCTAATCAACATCCCCTGCCTGCCCTGTATTCCCCCTCATCAACATCCCCTGCCTCTCCTGTATTCCCCCTAATCAACATCCCCTGCCTGCCCTGTATTCCCCCTAATCAACATCCCCTGCCTGCCCTGTATTCCCCCTCATCAACATCCCCTGCCTCTCCTGTATTCCCCCTCATCAACATCCCCTGCCTGCCCTGTATTCCCCCTCATCAACATCCCCTGCCTCTCCTGTATTCCCCCTCATCAACATCCCCTGCCTGCCCTGTATTCCCCCTCATCAACATCCCCTGCCCCCCCTGCCCCCCCTTACTTCCCTGTTTGAGGTTGTGGACAGGTGTCTTTTATACTGATAACAAGTTCAAACAGGTGCCATTAATACAGGTAACGAGTGGAGGACAGAGGAGCCTCTTAAAGAAGAAGTTACAGGTCTGTGAGAGCCAGAAATCTTGCTTGTTTTTAGGTGACCAAATACTTATTTTCCACCATAATTTGCAAATAAATTCATTAAAAATCCTACAATGTGATTTTCTGGGGAAAAAAAATCTCAATTTGTCTGTCATAGTTGACGTGTACCAATGATGAAAATTACAGGCCTCTCTCATCTTTTAAGTGGGAGAACTTTCACAATTGGTGGCTGACTAAATACTTTTTTTCCCCACTGTAGCTGTCTGGAAGGGAGTTAGATTTATCATTGTTCTTCTACTTTTCCTGGCTGGCAAAGTACCAGGATGTTGTTGAGAGCAGTTTCGAATCTGAATTTAGAAACTGAATTTAGAAACTGCATTTGAAAACTGAATTTGATGCATAGGAGAAATTGAATATATAAAACTTTGGTCAACTTGAAATGATAGTTTGTAAACTTGATACACAGAAAATGAATGCAATATCTACCATATTGAAACTGAATATATAAATATTGAATTTGAATATTGAATTAAACTGAATGCAATATTCATCCACACTGCCCTTTCCCACCTGGACAAGAGGAACACCTACGTGAGAATGCTATTCATTGACTACAGCTCAGCATTCAACACCATAGTGCCCTCTAAGCTCATCACTAAGCTAAGGATCCTGGGACTAAACACCTCCCTCTGCAACTGGATCCTGGACTTCCTGACGGGCCGCCCCCAGGTGGTAAGGGTAGGTAACAACACATCTGCCACACTGATCCTCAACACGGGGGCCCCTCAGGGGTGCGTGCTCAGTCCCCTCCTGTACTCTCTGTTCACCCATGACTGCATGGCCAGGCACGACTCCAACACCATCATTAAGTTTGCCGACGACACAACAGTGGTAGGCCTGATCACCGACAACGATGAGACAGCCTATAGGGAGGAGGTCAGAGATCTGGCCGTGTGGTGCCAGGACAACAACCTCTCCCTCAACGTGACCAAGACAAAGGAGATGATTGTGGACTACAGGAAAAAAAAGAGGACTGAGCACGCCCCCATTCTCATCGACGGGGCTGTAGTGGAACAGGTTGAGAGCTTCAAGTTCCTTGGTGTCCACATCACCAACGAACTATCATGGTCCAAACACACCAAGACAGTCGTGAAGAGGGCACGACAAAGCCTATTCCCCCTCAGGAGACTAAAAAGATTTGGCATGGGTCCTCAGATCCTCAAAAAATTCTACAGCTGCACCATCGAGAGCATCCTGACTGGTTGCATCACCGCCTGGTATGGCAACTGCTTGGCCTCTGACCGCAAGGCACTACAGAGGGTAGTGCGTACGGCCCAGTACATCACTGGGGCAAAGCTCCCTGCCATCCAGGACCTCTATACCAGGCGGTGTCAGAGGAAGGCCCTCAAAATTGTCAAAGACTCCAGCCACCCTAGTCATAGACTGTTCTCTCTGCTACCGCACGGCAAGCGGTACCGGAGTGCCAAGTCTAGGTCCAAAAGACTTCTCAACAGCTTCTACCCCCAAGCCATAAGACTCCTGAAGAGCTAATCATGGCTACCCGGAATATTTGCACTGCCCCCCCACCCCATCCTTTTTACGCTGCTGCTACTCTGTTAAGTATTTATGCATAGTCACTTTAACTCTACCCACATGTACATATTACCTCAACTACCTCAACTAGCCGGTGCCCCCGCACATTGACTATGCAACGGTACCCCCCTGTATATATAGCCTCCCTACTGTCACTTTATTTTACTGTATATATAGCCTCCCTACTGTCACTTTATTTTACTTCTGCTCTTTTTTTTCTCAACACTTTTTTGTTGTTGTTTTATTCTTACTTTTTTTGTTTAAAATAAATGCACTGTTGGTTAAGGGCTGTAAGTAAGCATTTCACTGTAATGTCTGCACCTGTTGTATTCGGCGCATGTGACCAATAAAATTTGATTTGATTTGATTTGATTCAATTGAAAGTTCAATTTAGGAATATTATGATTCAATTTGTGCATTACGAATTAAAAAATATTGAATTCAAATCCAATATCCTAACATAAATTCAAAATGTGAAAATTCAAATAACATTTCTGTTGGCACTGAAATCGCTCCACCCTCCATCCAAAACGAATATCAGGTGAATAACATGCTATTCTCATGCTTAAGTTCAAGGTCAGAGAGAAAAGTGCATAAAAAGGGAATTAAGTTCAATTTATGCATAATTACCTCGGGTCGGAATCGGGGCCTATATGCATGCTGAAAGTCAGCAGTTAAATTGTTCTCTGAAAAATAGCATTGTATTTGGTCAAACACAATTCTCTCCGTGAGTTTTATAAGAACAGGTAGAAAACGGATTGGGCGACTGTTAGCGCCAGCAAAGGGTGCTTTACTATTTTTAGGCAGGGGAAGTACACTACATTACCAAAACTATGTGGACACCTGGTCGTCGAACATCTTATTCCAAAATCATGGGCATTAATATGGAGTTGATCCCCCCATTTGCTGCTATAACAGCCTCCACTCTTCTGGGAAGGCTTTCCACTAGATGTTGGAACATTGCTGCGGGGACTTGCTTCCATTCAGCCACGAGCATTAGTGAGGTCGGCCACTGATGCTGGGTGATTAGGCCTGGTTCGCAGTTGGCGTTCCAATTCATCCCAAAGGTGTTCGATGGGGTTGAGGTCAGGGCTCTGTGCAGGACAGTCAAGTTCTTCCACACCAATCTCGACAAACCATTGTCATGCTGAAACAGGAAAGGCCCTTCCCCAAACTGTTGCCACAAAGTTGGAAGCACAGAATTGTCTAGAATGTCATTGTATGCTGTAGCATTAAGATTTCCCTTCACTGGGCCTAGCCCAAACCATGAAAAACAGCCCCAGACCAGAATTCCTCCTCCACCAAACTTTACAGTTGGCACTGTGCATTGGGGCGGGTATCGTTCTATCTGGGAATCTGCCAAACCCAGATTAGTCCATCGGACTGTCCGATGGTGAAGCGTGATTCATCATTCCAGAGAAGGCATTTCCACTGCTCCAGAGTCCAATGGGGGCGAGCTTTACACCACTCCAGCCGACGCTTGTCATTGCGCATGGTGATCTTAGGCTTGTGTGCGGCTGCTCGGCCATGGAAAACCCATTTCATGAAGCTCCCGATGAACAGTTCTTGTGCTGACGTTGCTTCCAGAGGCAGTTTGGAACTCAGTAGTGAGTGTTGCAACCGAGGACAGACAATGTTTACGCGCTACAAGCTTCAGCACTCTTGTGGTCCCGTTCTGTGAGCTTGTGTGGCCTATCACTTCGCGGTTGAGCCATTGTTGCTCCTAGACATTTCCACTTCACAATAACAGCACTTACAGTTGACCGGGGCAGCTCTAGCAAAGCAGAAATTTGACAAACTGACTTGTTGGAAAGGTGGCATCCTATGACGGTGCCACGTTGAAAGCCACTGAGTTCTTCAGTACGGGCCATTCTACTGCCAATGTTTGTCTATGGAGATTGCATGGCTGTGTGCTCATTTTATACACCTGTCAGCAACGTGTGTGGCTGAAATAGCCAAATCCACTAATTTGAAGGGGTGTCCACATACTTTTGTATGTATAGTGTACGTTAGCTTCCTTCCACGCCTGTGGACACACACTCCTTTAGGCTTTTGTTAAAGATATAGCAAATAGGGGTGGCAATACAGTCTGCTACCATTCTCAATAGTTTCCCATCTAGGTTGTCTGTACCTGGTGGCTTATCATTATTGATGGATAACAATCGTTTTTCCACCTCTCCCACACTAACTTGACCAAATTCAAAACAGCAATCCTTCTCTTTCATTATTAGATATTTTACACAAAAATATGACGGTTCACTGTTCAATGTTGTCATTTCACTACTGAGTTTTTCCACTTTACTAATGAAATAGTCATTGAAATGATTGGCAATATCGAAAGGTTTTGTTATAAATGACCCATCAACTTCAATGAACGACGGAGATGAATTGGGTTTCTGCCCATGATATCATTTAAGGTACTCCAAAGTATTTTTTCCATTGTGTTTTCTGTCATTTATCTTTGTTTGGTGACATAATTTCTTCTTATTTTTGTTAAGTTTAGTCACAAAATGTTTTTATTGACAGTATGTCAACCAATCAGCTGAGCAGCCTCACTTGTTGGCCACCTCATTTCTTTGAACCATACGATTTATCAATTCACCATCGATCCGGGAGTCTCTAACTGTTCTCACACTTAGTTTCTCAAATACACCTAAAACTAAAAGCATTGTATTTGGTTCGAAACATTCTCCAAGACCTAAACCGGAGTTGTGTATAAAGGGTGGGACCATTGAGCAAGTTAGACTCCTAGGTATAACATTGGATGGTCAATTATCATGGTCAAGTCATACTGACAAAGTTGTTGTGAAGATGGGGAGGGGTATGTCTGTTATTTACATGTTACATTGTAGTCATTTAGCAGACGCTCTAATCCAGAGCGATTTACAGTTAGTGAGTGCATACATTTTTTCATACTGGCGCCCCCCGTGGGAATCGAACCCACAACCCCTGGCGTTGCAAACACCATGCTCTACCAACTGAGCTACAGGGGGAGCCACCAGGGGTCATCTAATGGACTGTGAGGGGACACAAACACACACACAGTCAGACACAATCTAACAGACACATATATTTTTTAAAATGTTTGTATTATTAGTAGTAGTTGTATTGTTTGTATATCGTTGTATTTTAAATGTGGGTTACTGTCTTTGTCTGTCAGTGTATCAGTGTTTTGTTACTTGTCGTGTTTTTTTTGTGGACCCCAGGAAGAGCAGCTGCTGCCTTTGCAAAAGCTAACGGAGGTCCAAATATGCAAATAAACCCCTAACTATTTGAAATGTCAACCTCAATGGGGTAGGGACTTAGTTCAGGTTAGCAAGGACCATGACACGAGTGGCAAGGAGTGGAATGGGGTTCGGTCAACAACATTACACACGCGTATTCTTTGTGGTCGTCACTATTTACCACAGCCACAAATGGCTACACCCTGCTTATTACTACAACGTATCTTCTTAAAATCTGATTTTAAACCGAACCCTAACCTTAATCAACAATGCTAACCTTAAACTAAGACCAAAAAGCACATTTTAGTTTTTATTTTATTTTTATCTTTACGATATATAGCCAATTTTGACTATGTGGCTGTGGTAACTAGTGACAACCATTCTTTGTACACTGCTGTGCTTGTTATTGTGTGACGTAACAAGGCGTGTCCCTGTCAAAATGTAACGCGATTCCAGCTTTAGCCTCTAGATGGAGGTAAAGTACAGTTATACAGCCAGAGCAGCGCCTGTAAAGGTTTTGCATCACAAGACAACACATTTATCCAGCCAGTGTTTTGGACTTGGACTAAATGCCATTTACATTTCTGGTGAATCGTCCTTGAGGCCGATACGTAAAGCTTATTAAAGAGCAGTAATAGTATTAAGAGCAGTGATACTATTAAGAGCAGTGATACTATCAAGAGCAGTGATACTATCAAGAGCAGTGATACTATCAAGAGCAGTGATACTATTAAAAGCAGTGATACTATCAAGAGCAGTGATACTATCAAGAGCAGTTATACTATTAAGAGCAGTGATACTATCAAGAGCAGTGATACTATTAAAAGCAGTGATACTATCAAGAGCAGTGATACTATTAAGAGCAGTGATACTATCAAGAGCAGTGATACTATCAACAGCAGTGATACTATCAAGAGCAGTGATACTATCAAGAGCAGTGATACTATCAAGAGCAGTGATACTATTAAGGGCAGTGATACTATTAAGAGCAGTGATACTATTAAGAGCAGTGATACTATCAAGAGCAGTGATACTATTAAGAGCAGTGATACTATCAAGAGCAGTGATACTATCAAGAGCAGTGATACTATCAAGAGCAGTGATACTATTAAGGGCAGTGATACTATTAAGAGTAGTGATACTATCAAGAGCAGTGATACTATTAAGAGCAGTGATATTATTAAGAGCAGTGATACTATCAAGAGCAGTGATACTATTAAGAGCAGTGATACTATCAAGAGCAGTGATACTATCAAGAGCAGTGATACTATTAAGGGCAGTGATACTATTAAGAGCAGTGATACTATTAAGAGCAGTGATACTATCAAGAGCAGTGATACTATTAAGAGCAGTGATACTATCAAGAGCAGTGATACTATCAAGAGCAGTGATACTATCAAGAGCAGTGATACTATTAAGGGCAGTGATACTATTAAGAGCAGTGATACTATTAAGAGCAGTGATACTATCAAGAGCAGTGATACTATTAAGAGCAGTGATACTATCAAGAGCAGTGATACTATCAAGAGCAGTGATACTATCAAGAGCAGTGATACTATCAAGAGCAGTGATACTATTAAGGGCAGTGATACTATTAAGAGTAGTGATACTATCAAGAGCAGTGAATACTATTAAGAGTAGTGATACTATCAAGAGCAGTGATACTATTAAGAGCAGTGATATTATTAAGAGCAGTGATACTATCAAGAGCAGTGATACTATTAAGAGCAGTGATACTATCAAGAGCAGTGATACTATCAAGAGCAGTGATACTATCAAGAGCAGTGATACTATCAAGAGCAGTGATACTATTAAGAGCAGTGATACTATTAAGAGCAGTGATACTATCAAGAGCAGTGATACTATTAAGAGCAGTGATACTATTAAGAGCAGTGATACTATTAAGAGCAGTGATACTATCAAGAGCAGTGATACTATCAAGAGCAGTGATACTATCAAGAGCAGTGATACTATCAAGAGCAGTGATACTATCAAGAGCAGTGTGCGGGTTTCTTCTTTTTTTCTCATCTTATTCAACTGTTACCATGCACCTGCAACAAAGATAACTCAGATGTGCGAATGCCTTTTGAAATGATGAATCCTCCTCAAAAGATGATGCTGATCAAGTCAAGACAGTTACAAGAATGGAATGAAATGAAGACTAATATTAGCAGGGTCATACAAATGATTCCCTAATTAAATGCAGCATTATAGCCTGTCATCAAACACAAGGCCGACTGTCAATTATGAGTGGGCGTTTCCTTTCTGATCACTATGAACTGACGTAACACTGTATATTTACATTTACATCATTTAGCAGACGCTCTTATCCAGAGCGACTTACAAATTGGTGCATTCACCTTATAGCCAGTGGGATAACCACTTTACAATATGTTTTTTTTTTTTGGGGGGGGGGGGGGGGGGGGGTTGGGGGGGGGTAAGGAGGGGTAGAAGGATTACTTTATCCTATCCCAGGTATTCCTTAAAGAGGTGGGGTTTCAAGTGTCTCCGGAAGGTGGTCAGTGACTCCGCTGTCCTGGCGTCACTTGGCTCTGATACCAAGACGATCAGTAATTGATTAGCTGTCAGTCATTTTAGTGAGTGGAATTCAAATAAGAAGCATAATGTGTACAATAATAATCTATTTAATAATATCTGTTTATTTACTTTAAGACACATATTCATGTCATAAGTCAATGGTCCCACCTGTCAATGATTTTTAAAAGGGCGGGACGTTTATGATTTAAATGGCTTCACTGTCCAGATCCGTCTACACTTGTAAGATATCCAGACACAATGCGTCTGACTACCTCCAGAGGTGGTCAGGAAGATCAGATCACAATCAGATCACAATGTGTCTTTTAATCGTCAACACCGGTCTTCAAATGTGGACACAATCAGGATGTGGACCAAATTAGGACAAAATATGCATGTTAGCAACAGGTATAAATGGGGCTTTGGTCTCCATCTCAAACAAACAGAGAAATGTTAACTCTGTATATGCTGAGATAAAGAGCCCTGTCTATCTGATGACTAACACCTCGTTTCTGCCCTCTCATCCTCCTACACAACATTATGTTACTGACAGGGAAATGGATCAAAGACAGTGAAATGTTTAGTAATTTTCACATTATAAAAAGCAGAGCTCTATCAATGTTAGCTGGATGAGGACACACTGAGCTGTGTTCTCTGATATGACAGACAACCAAACAAGATTCCTGGTAGGCCGTGATATGGAACAAGATTCCTGGTAGGCCGTGATATGGAACAAGATTCCTGGTAGGCCGTGATATGGAACAAGATTCCTGGTAGGCCCTACAACCAAATAAGATTACTGGTAGGCCCTACAACCAAACAAGATTCCTGGTAGGCCCTATAACCAAACAAGATTCCTGGTAGGCCGTGATATGGAACAAGATTCCTGGTAGGCCCTACAACCAAATAAGATTCCTGGTAGGCCCTACAACCAAACAAGATTACTGGTAGGCCCTACAACCAAACAAGATTACTGGTAGGCCCTACAACCAAACAAGATGACTGGTATGCCATTATATGTAGCGTGTTGGGTGGAGCTGTAGGTCATAAGAAAGTGGAACATCTAAACTCTGACTAGCTAGCTGACATCTAATACACTGACCACTGACTGGGCCTTACAGAAATGAACCCTTATATGGCTACGGTGACTTTGACGCTCTTTGTCTAGAGACACATTAAAGTACTTAGCAATGTCAAGAGGAACCTGGACATAGTGTGGAAATAAAAAAAAAACAAGTATGTACTTTCCACACCATCAACTTCCTGTTCATATGATGATGTGTTATGAAATAAGCAGTGAGAAGGGAAGTGATGTTGAGATTAGCTTCACAGATTTGAGTGAAAACGAACCACGTTGGAACATTATGGAGAGCGTCAATGAGGTTTCATCTATGGATCAAGTTTTTACAATGGAATATGAAAATGTGACAGCCAATCAGCACACCAGAGACAGCTCAGGATCAGCTCAGCACTCCAGGAGAAGAGTCTACATATTGGTTGCTGTGGGCTTTGGGTTGCTGTGTGTCCTACAAGTCACTCTTAACGTCTCCCTGCGTTTAGTCGCCAACCTGACTGAAGGGAGAGACCAGTTGGTGTGTGAGAAAGACGTCCGCAAGATATGTCCCCAAGACTGGTTAATAAAGTCTGGCTGCAGTTGTTACTTCATCTCCCCTGACACTAAAAACTGGACTGAGAGCAGACAGGACTGTCTGGACAGAGGAGCAGACCTGGTGATCATAAACAGCAGAGAGGAACAAGCTTTAATCAAAGCATTTGGCCACCGTGCCTGGATTGGTCTGACTGACAGAGAAGCTGAGGGAACCTGGAGATGGGTGGACAAAACACCACTGACCGCAAGTTATTGGATTGAAACCGGCGAACCAAATGGAGGAGCTAATGAGAACTGTGTTGAGATTATTGGGAATTACAATGACCCAGTATTGGCCTGGAATGATCTACCGTGTAACTATGAAACTCGTTGGATCTGTGAGAGTTCGTTGGATCTGTGAGAGTTCGTGGGTTCTGTGAGAGTTCGTGGGTTCTGTGAGAGTTCGCGGGTTCTGTGAGAGAGCCAACACGCCCAACCACCGCCACAATCTCTAGATTCAGCCCTAACACCTACAATGGTCTCCACAACATTATCTTAAGCAAGTAAGGCCTTTTGATTACAATTCATTCATGGAAAAGCAGGACCTGCATTTATAAAATTATTGCAATAGTTTTCTCTCTCTCTTTTGACTTCACTCCTTCTCACAGTTCCATCGCTGAACTCTTTATTCATTTTTGTCATGCTCATGTAATAAGTGTTGAATTTCATGTTGTGTAATGACCCAGAATCTGTATAGTTCCACCCCTGATTTTACTGTACATTCCTTTTGTTGTTTTAAATTCCCTTTTTAATGTCTCACACTTCCTTATCATCCTGTATTCCCCCTAATCAACATCCCCTGCCTCTCCTGTATTCCCCCTCATCAACATCCCCTGCCTGCCCTGTATTCCCCCTAATCAACATCCCCTGCCTGCCCTGTATTCCCCCTCATCAACATCCCCTGCCTGCCCTGTATTCCCCCTCATCAACATCCCCTGCCTCTCCTGTATTCCCCCTAATCAACATCCCCTGCCTCTCCTGTATTCCCCCTCATCAACATCCCCTGCCTCTCCTTTATTCCCCCTCATCAACATCCCCTGCCTCTCCTGTATTCCCCCTCATCAACATCCCCTGCCTGCCCTGTATTCCCCCTCATCAACATCCCCTGCCTCTCCTGTATTCCCCCTCATCAACATCCCCTGCCCCCCCTTCCTTCCCTGTGAACTATACCCATTTAGAAGAGGTAGGATACTGTAAAATAGTCCAATGATCAATCCTATATGTTAAAACACTTCTAAGGAGTTTATATGGTCACTGGCAGTTCTATTATAAAGGTCTCCCACCATTATATTGTGATATGTATGCATTTCAGTCATTTATGAACTTATCTGTTGATTTGTGAACACTGTACATGCTAGCTAGCTACTGTACTGTACATTTTACTCAGGGGCACAACTTTCACTAGGGATGGGACGGGGACGGGGGGGCATGTCCATTCTGAAATTAGATTTTTGCCCCCCCCCCCCCCCCCCCCCCCAGTTTTATCATTGGAATGTGATGCAAAACAATGCAAAGGTGTGCTTTAGGACCATGCGGACGCCTCCGAGCGGTCGGGTAGGCTGTTTGGAGTGTTCATCTGACAGAATTTTAAAAAAAAAGATGCCTCCCCCACTGCCTTTGATTTTACTACATGTCGTCATTGGGCTAGCGTGACTATTCATGCCCCCCTATTCGTTGTTCATTTGTACTTTACAGAGGATGTGGAGCACTAGGGCAGCACGCTCTTGTCATTATCAGGTATGTCATGTGTTTTTGTTAAGATATTTGGACAATATTTTACTGTTAGCTGTTCCCAAGAGCACATCATGTACTGTAATGTACCAAACACCTGGCTGTCATTGAGAACTTTGGCTGGTCTAGGCCTACAGGCTACTGGACATTTACATGTAATACTGTACATTTCATTTGCATTACATTTTTATGTGAAACAACCTTACTGTTATTGGCCCCTGTGTACATTCACCTCTTTGGCCCCTGTGTACATTCATCTCTTTGGCCCCTGTGTACATTCACCTCTTTGGCCCCTGTGTATATTCACCTCTTTGGCCCCTGTGTACATTCACCTCTTTGGCCCCTGTGTATATTCACCTCTTTGGCCCCTGTGTACATTCACTAGTATCATAATGACTCCTCTCTGGTAATGTATAAGATCTGTAGTTCTGTAATGCGGAGAACAAGTTGTTCTGATGTGGATTGAAACAAACAACCAAATCATCTACGACATATATTTTTCTTAAATTTGTATTATTATTATTATGTATTATAATTTTATTATTAAGTTTGTGTATCTTTTGTTATCAACAAATATCACTTTCCAGTTCAAATGTTGTCTTTGGACAAAGTGAAGTGTGTGGCTTTCACTTTTTCAACTTTTGCTAGCTTGCAACTTGAATAAAAAACATCCATACAAAATGAATGTGTATAAAACACTTGTCACTCCATGTTTCAAATGAAAGTATGTGAAGTCGGTGTGGGTGTATTTCCAGACTAAATGAAACATTACAGCTTATATTGAATCCATGTTTTCCAGACTTACACCCACGACCATGAACTCTTTAACTTCCCATCCATCAACTCCCTTCTTCACCTGGGCTCTTTGATGTTTGAGGTTGTCCAGAAAGCATATTCTGACTGTTCCATGTAACCTTAAAAAAACTGAAAACGGCCACCCGAGTGGCACAGCGGTCTAAGGCACTGCATTGCAGCGCTAGAGGAGTCACTACAGCCCCGGGTTCGATCCCAGGCTGTGTCACAGCCGGCCGTGACCGGGAGACCCATGAGGCGGTGCACAATTGGCCCAGCGTCGTCCGGGTTAGAGGAGGGTTTGGCCGGCTGGGATTTCCTTGTCCCATTGCGCTCTAGCGACTCCTTGTGGCGGGCCGGGCGCCTGCAAGCTGACCTCGGTCACCAGCTGGATGGTGTTTCCTCCGACACATTGGTGCGACTGGCTTCCGGGTTAAGCGAGCAGTGTGTCAAGAAGCAATGCGGCTTGGCAGAGTCGTGTTTCGGAGGATGCATGGCTCTCGACCTTCTCCTCTCCCGAGTCCGTAGGGGAGCTGCAGCGATGGGACAAGACTGTAACTACAAATTGGATATCACGAAATTGGGGAAATCTTGAATTAATCAACACAGAAAAATGCAGCTTGGAACACATTGAAATGTATTACATGTCCTTCGTCTTACCTCTGAGAGTTCTATTTCAATATCAGATAAGTACATTACTAGCTGTCAATCATTTCAACATCAGATAAGTACATTAGTAAATCAAATGCAAATAGTCCGGGTGGCCATTTGATTGATTGTTCAGCAGTCTTATGGCTTGGGGTAGAAGCTGTTAAGGAGCCTTTTGGACCTAGACTTGGCGCTCCAGTACATTATTAGCTGTCAACATCAGATAAGTAAATCACTAGCTGTCAATAATTTCAACATCAGCCCACTGCATGAGAAGTGGAATATTTCTACAATTTCTCTGAAGCCTGGAAAGGAGTCACAAGTGATGCATGCATTGTTGGACATACTCTTCTTTGATATCATTAAATTTACATTTTAGTCATTTAGCAGACACTCTTATCCAGAGTGACTTACAGTTAGTGAATGCATACATTATTTTTTATACTGGCCCCCCGTGGGAATCGAACCCACGTGGCCAGCTACGACAGTGCCTGGATTCGAACCAGGATCTCTAGTGGCACAGCTAGCACTGCGATGCAGTGCCTTAGACCACTGCGCCACTCGGGAGATACATATCATCTTGGAATAAATAAGAGCACATCTTATATATGGTCAGCAGCATCCCACTGCTGGCTTGCCTCTGAAACTAAGCAGGGTTGGTCCTGGATGGGAGACCAGATGCTGCTGGACGTGGTGTTGGAGGGCCAGCAGGAGACACTCTTTCCTTTGGTCTGTGGACGTTGCCCTGTGTAGGGTACCATCTTTTGGATGGGACGTTAAACGGGTGTCCTGACTCTCTGTGGCCACTAAAGATCCCATGGCACTTACTGTAAGAGTAGGGGTTATAACCCCGGTGTCCTGGTTAACTTCATACCATCACAGCCACCTAATCATCCCCAGCTTCCAATTGGCTAATTCCTCTCCCCTGTAACTATTCCCAGGTCGTTGCTGAAAATGAGAATATGTTCTAAGTAAACTTACACAGGAAGCGGCACAGGTCCTAATCCAGGCACTTGTCATCTCCCGTCTGGATTACTGCAACTCGCTGTTGGCTGGCCTCCCTGCCTGTGCCATTAAACCCCTACAACTCATCCAGAATGCTGCAGCCCGTCTGGTGTTCAACCTTCCCAAGTTCTCTCACGTCACCCCGCTCCTCCACACACTCCACTGGCTTCCAGTTGAAGCTTGCATCTGCTACAAGACCATGGTGCTTGCCTACGGAGCTGTGAGGGGAACGGCACCTCCGTACCTTCAGGCTCTGATCAGTCCCTACACCCAAACGAGGGCATTGCGTTCATCCACCTCTGGCCTGCTGGCTCCCCTTCCTCTGCGGAAGCATAGTTCCCGCTCAGCCCAGTCAAAACTGTTTGCTGCTCTGGCACCCCAATGGTGGAACAAGCTCCCTCACGACGCCAGGACAGCGGAGTCACTCACCACCTTCCGGAGACACTTGAAACCCCACCTCTTTAAGGAATACCTGGGATAGGATAAAGTAATCCTTCTACCCCCCCCCTTACCCCAACCCCCCCCCCCCCCCCCCCAAAAAAAAAAAACATTGTAAAGTGTTTATCCCACTGGCTATAAGGTGAATGCACCAATTTGTAAGTCGCTCTGGATAAGAGCGTCTGCTAAATGACGGAAATGTAATAATAATATGCCATTTAGCAGACGCTTTTATCCAAAGCGACTTACAGTCATGTGTGCATACATTTTTACGTATGGGTGGTCCCGGGGATCGAACCCACTACCCTGGCGTTACAAGCGCCGTGCTCTACCAGCTGAGCTACAGAGGATGTAAAAATGTAAATGTAAATACAAAAGGTCTATTTTACGCCTATTAGATTCCTCCCTGATACATTTTACTCTTAGTGTGCATCCCAAATGGCACCCTACTCCCTTTATAGTGCACCAATGTTGACCTATGAGGCTTTCCAGATTGCACAAGCCTTGGCTACGTACTTACTTGACATTTGACAAGGGCCCACAAAAGCAGGTAGATGGGAAAACAGAAACAGGAACAGGAAGGTTACTTTACATTCGACAAGGGCCCACAAAAGCAGAAAGGAGAACAGAAACAGGGAGGTTTAGTGAGAGCAGAACCATAACATTTGATTGAATCAAAACAGTATAATTATTCACTTCATGTGGGGGGGGGGGGGATTTCCCTTGACATGGTGTTACTCAACGTGT